TGGCACCAGCTCTTCCCTCCACTTACCACTCACTTTCGACCTGCACTTGAGTCTGCAGGGTCACTGGTTTTCAGTGGGTACAGCTTCAGGCAGGATTTTCCTTCCCCAGGTGGTTGTGTAATTCAGTCACGGGTGCAAAGGCAAATAGACCACTCAGGCCCTAGACTGGCCCTTCATGCTGCCCTTTGGACCTTGTGAGGGTTGGGGGGGTGTCCTTTCCTTACCCCCAGAAGTGATGAGTTTCACCTCTCTCGGTCGTCAGCCTCAGGTGTGACCTCTCCATACGATCGTTTCCTCTGAGGTTTGAGGATAAAAATAAGTTAGGGAGAAAGGGGGTTTTAATCTTCAGGTAATTAAGGCTTAATACAGCAGAAGCTGGAAGAAAAATATTAGGGCAGTAGACATAAAACTACATTTTTTAAAAAGCATCCTTTATTATTAGTGTATATAAGATTGTTTATGTGAATAATTAATATATAATCAATTTGAAATATTTTTCAAAGGAGAGGGTTTGAGATGTACAGTAATGGGCAAGAATCATCCATAAACTGTCGGGACTTGAATGGGGTTTGTCACGTGCATGAAATGGTAAATGCTTATGAGAAGTGTTGCTATTTTATTCACCAGTTCAGCCAGTGAGTGACTTGATCAGCCAGTGCTAAAACCTGTGTGAGCTGGGTGCTGGCCAGACTCGGAGAATTCAGATGTTACTCTTCAGCTCTTTACCTTTGTTTAAGGGGTTTAGTTCCTTCCCCATGGGCTGGAAATCTTCAAGGGGGTGGCTTTGCAGACTTCTCTGTTTCCTCTTTTTCGCAGTCTCTCTTTTTTCAGCAAGCAAACTACCTTAAGCCATTTCAAGATAATGAGCATTAAGTATGCTGATTTTTCTGCTTCGTCTCATTTGGATCTCGCTGTTGTGTTTGTTAAAATGTAATGTTCTACCAGGGTAGTTTCTTTCTTCTTTTTACACTTTCTGGTGGAAAGTGCCTTGAAATAAATAAAATGTGAGAATATTCTGGTACTCTGTGTTCCTGGTGTTGTGAAGTCACGTGAGGAATGACCCCTAGTCTGGATTCTTCCGAAGCACAGGGATTATCGCAAAGCAAATGAGAGCTAACGTATTTTGCCATTTGAATTAAGTTTTCCAGTTTCTAGAAAAGGCAGCTGTTGGTTGGGACTGGTCCTGGCGCGGACTGAGATGCCGGGAGCGAGCCTGGGGGTCGCAGGGCTGGCTCTGCAGTCCAGCCAAGACGCCCTCTGAAGACAGACATGCAGAGAAAACGTGTGGAGGAGCAGCTTTTCTAACGCAGTGTGATGTCTGTACTTTCCCACTTCTCTCTGCTGTTAGTTTGGGGGACCGTGGCAGAACCAGGAGTTTCGGAGAGAATCGTACACATTCTGTGTTAAAAGATACTGCCGTCCTCCGGATAATGGGGCAGGACTCCTTTCTGGGTGACTATTGCCAAGTCTCAGGCTGAACAAAAGACCAGATTAAAGGCATCAGGTGTGGTGACTGCAGGCTGGGCTGCCCGTCCCCAGCCCCTGGACACCAAGCGTGTTGTTCCTGACGACGGGTATGTTTCCACTTCAGAAATAACGTACTGCTCTTTCAGGTTTACAGTCAGTTGTACTGTTGGCAGCAGTCGCGTGAGAGCCTGTGTAAAACAGTCACCCGCCCTTGCACTTGGTGCCCCTCTGATTCTGTCATTCCAGGCGATTCCTGGGGCGCATGCGTGCAGCGCTCACAACATCTGAAAAACGCAGAATAGGTTGCCTTTGCTGCCTGTTCTTAATTTCATAGTAAAAGTTTGCACATTTTTCTCAGTGTTCGTCTGAAAGCTCTCCCCACCGTACCCCCCGCCAACAACATTCTAATAAGAACAAAGAGTTCCGTGCCACGCTAACACGTTTGTATGTAGACCTGGAAGGGTGGGGGAACTTCGGTTCCCGTGCATCCGTGCTTTGCTGTGGCTGTATCCCCACTCTGAAGCCTGCCGTCTGCTCTTCCGCACTGGCACCTCGTTTCAGTTTTGTGAAGGAGATGGAGCTATTCGGGGTGGGCCTGGAGCCCACCGTATGACTTTCAGCTGAATTGGAACATTCTAAGTAATTTTTTTGTGACATATGAAATTTCCAAACCTTCAAAGAAGAAGGGCTGCTCCAACAAGCCCGGGGCCGCCGCCGTGGTGCCCGTGCTGGCGTCCAGTGGGGCAAGTTCCCGAGCACCCTCTGTGGAAGGCCAGTGCGGGACCCTGGACGCAGGTGGAGGGCAACGGGCGGAGTGCAGAGTGCAGCCCTGTGCCGGGCAACGCGCAGGGGTGCCGGCGCTGGTGGTGATGGGGACAGGAAAGGAGGGAGGGGCCTCCCCCGTTGTTGATCCACAGCAGAGACCTTTCCCACCTCACAGGGGCGGCCAGGTGGCCCTTGCCGATGCCCCCGAGCCCTTGGTTTTGTGCTCACGTCCCCCAGCGTGCTCGGTAGGGGCTGGTCCTGGCACGGGGCCTGCCCGCCCTGGAGGCTGTGCCTCAACACTGAGATGCCGTCGAGGCTTTCCCTTCCTTGCGGTGGTTTAGTTACGTAGATGTCGGGCACGGGGTTCGAGTGGGCCTTTGGCATGAGTCGCTGGGGCGGGTGGAGCGTCCTGAGTGGCTTTGTCTTTGCAGGATGCCAGCCAGGGCTCCGTGGTGAGCAGACTGGCCCAGCCCCAGCGGTGGGAGGGGGAAGGAGGGGAGGGGTGGTCTGGGGTCACTGATCACGATAACCCTGCGCTGACAGCATGGAGGTGTTTCCCGTTGTGGGGATGGGGGCTGTGGAGGTAAATAGGAACACGGGGCTCGGGTTGTCTGCGGTTTGGAAGTCTCCCAGCTGGAAGGCCAGGTTCACGGTCACATCCGACCGTGGCACAGAAGGAAGTCTACCGGGCTCGTTTACCCCCAGCTCTGACCAAGTGGAGCAACGACTGGAGGTGAGCAGATTTTGCCCACGTGAAGCTTTCTGAGTGGCTCCGTTCTCTCCATGTCAGCTGCCCGTGGAGCAGCAGGCTCACTGCGGCACGAGGCTGAGACTCCGACGCGCCTCTGGAGCTGAGGGTGGGATGCGCCTGGCCGCTGGGACCACAAGGCGCTCTGCGTGTTTGGGCTGCACGTAAGCTTAGTCACCGGAGAGGACGGAGGGACGTCTCCTCCTCCGGTCGTGGCTCTCGCTCTCCGCAGACTCAGCCGCAGGCCCTGTCACATGAGGTTTTCTCTCCCACAGGTCGTGGTGTCTTACAGTCACACTAATTTTACCAGCTGGCTTCTGCAAGTGAAGCCAGCCCAGCCGTCACGGAGGATGCCACGCCGGGGCTGGAGGGGCGGGAAGGGAGGTGGTGGGCGGTCAGCCGGAAGCCTGGAAGGCCGTCGACCACCCTGGCCAGGGTGAGGGGACGGGGCAGTGGCCCCTGCTTGGCCACAGACTCGTGGGACTGGTGAGTCCTTAATCTCCGGGTGTTCTGTTGTATCCTGAGCGTAAAACAAGTGTTGAACAGCAGTGTTTGTGAGGTTCAAATAATGACCTCACCAGCACTTTGTCCCCACCTCCTGTCTCCCCCTCCTCAGCCCGGCTGGGCTCCCTGTGGTCCTGGAGCTGACCCTGGGTCTCCGCCCACTCCGCCCGCATGGCCTCCTCCTTCCCTGCTCTCAGATTTGACTCGTATGTCTTTCTGGGGGCACCTCTCGGCCCATCCCACGGCAGAAGCCACCCTTCCCTGCCCGACTTGGTCTCCTTTTTGTGTTTGTCTACACGCCCTGGAACATCAGCTCCAGAAGGAGAGGGACTTTGGGTAGGCAGATGACAAATGCCCCCCACAGTGTGGCTCTAGGTCTGTATGTAAAATCATCATCAAAGAGCCTCAGGCAGTGGGTGAGAGTGAGCTGCCCGGAGGAGGGTGGGGTACTATCGTAGCTGAGCCGAACAACGATTCTCACACTTTTCCGAGTGGCGGGCTCTTTGGGGGAATGCACCTCTCTCCAGCACCATCCTTCTGCCCCGCTGAGTGTCGTACAGATGGAAGAACAGCAGTTTGTTCGGCAAGTGCACATGGAGCAGGGTGGGGTAGACCCAGGCCCGACGTGTAGGTTCGGAGGGTTCCCTCCTGGTGGGATGTGGCCACGTTCGCTAGGCTGCTGTGTGGAGGATGGGTTGAGGGCGTAGCGGGTGGAGGGGGCGTTGCAGGGTGAAGAGGGGGCAGCTGGCGGAAGCAGAATCACCCAGAAATCCACCTGCTTCCAATGTGTCCCAACCATCACAGCGCTGGCTGTGCGCGGCACGTGGGTGTGAAGCCTTCCGAGGTCAGGTGGAGCCCTGAGACTGAGGATCCACAGGACTCAGCGTGGGGCCCGGCACGTGTCCGTACTCGGAACACTCAGCCACCCCCACCCCCGCGAGCGCTGGGCTGCCCAGGGTTCCCAGGCTGGTCCAGGGTCACAGGGCTGGAGCCCACCTTCAAAGATCCATTTTAAAAATTGATTCCCCTTGAGCCTCGCTGTCCTTGCACAGGTGAGATTACCCCGAGCTGTCAACTGATGCGTAGGCAGCCCTGCGAGGTGAGGACCACCCCACCGCACCTCCATTTGTGGATGTGCGCGCAGGCTACCTATCCAGCAATGTGTCCGGGCCGGGATCACGCCGGCTCAGCCCCTCCAAAGCCCCATCCTTCCTGCCGCCTGCAGGGGAAGTGCCCGCGCCATCCCGAACTTCCGCGACCGGCAGCGAGGAGGCCCCGGTGCGCGAGGTTCTGACCCGCCCGCCCGCGGAAGCGCCAGGTCTGGCCTTTCCGACGGAGTGAGCGGGGCGGAGACCCAATTTGCGCGCCCCGCCCCGCCCGCCGCGGTGGCCGTCCGGGGGCGACACGTCCTGGGAGTACGCCGGCCGGTCGGAAGCGCAGCTGGGACTGACACGTGGACTTGGGCGGCGCTGCCCGGTGGGTCGGCTGGGCGGGAACGGACCCGGACACCCTGTGCCCACGCCGTCCGCGCCCGATGCAGCCGCCCCCGGACGAGGCCCGCAGGGAAGCGGCCGAGGACGCCCAGTGGTCCAGGTGGGGCCTCGCGGTGCCGGGGGGGGGGGGGGGGGGGGGGGGGGGGGGGGGGGGGGGGGGGGGGGGGGGGGGCGAAGGGGGAGGGGGGCGGGGCGGCGGTCAGGGGAGGGAGCGGGCGTCCTGGGCAGAGATGGCTACCTGCCGACCCGCACCTTTGCTCTGCCTGGGGGGCCTTGCACCTCCGCGCCTCCCGCCTTCCATCCAGGGCCAGAGCCACCCCCCACCCACCCAGAGCCCCCTGCACTCTCCAGGCCGCCCCGGTCCTGGGGGTGGTGTGTGCAGTGTCTTGTCCTGGGAGGCCTGCCTGGCTGGGCAGGGTGGCTTCCAGGCACGGCCTCCCCACCCCCGGGACCGCACCTGTGACCACCCACTGAGTGCCACCTGTGCAGGCAGGCAGTGGGCTGGGGGGCGTTGGGGGGCCCACGCCGGCACCTGCAGCAGTTGGCTGAGCCCTGCTGTCGTCGTGTGCCAGAGATGTGAAGCCAACAGGGTCCCCACGGGGGTGTCGGTTGTGAGGGAGGAAGAGCCCAGGCAGGCCGCCCTCTTCTGCTGCCGGGTGCAGAAGGCCCTGGGACAGGGATCTGCTCACCAGCATGACTCACAGGGCGACCAGGAATGAGAGGCGAGCCCTCAGAACAGCCCCCAGGCCGCCCGCGGCTCAGAGCTCCCTCCGGTCCTCCAGTGGACCCCAGGCCCAGAGTCAGGCCCTGCGCTTCCAGGCCCGTCCACCTCCAGCTCTGAGTCCCCGGGGCCTACCCTGCTGCCTGCGGGACCCGCCTCCCAGAGCTGGTCACAGGAAGGCCTCAGAAGCCAGAAGGCTCCCCTGGGACAGGGCCTGGTGAGGGCGGGAGCCCCAAAGCCCAAATCGCAGCACGGGGTCTCCTTGCCAGGTGGCCAGGAGGGCGGCAGGCATGCGGGGCGTGCCCGGCTGGGGAGCGCCCCGCGGCCTGCCTCTGCTCCCTTGCTCTCTCCCCGCCCTTGTCCAGGCCGCAGCCAGCTGGGCAGAGGGCCGGGACCTCTAAAGAATGTTTTGCAAACTTCCCCCTCGGTTATGCTTTAACGGATCTGGATCTGGCTGGCTTTGCCTTCACCGCCTCCCTCCCTGCCCAGTTTAGAAAGGAGCACCTGCAGGTGCGGTAGCGGGGTTCCTGGGTGGAGTGGGGCTCAGCGGGAAAAGGTGGTTCGCACCCCCGAGTGGCTAAAGGTGATGAGAATCGTGACAAGGGCGACCGTGGGCGGCTGCCGCCGAGTGGATGACCCCCGAGGCAGGGCCGCTCCCCAGGGACGTCCCAGCCGGGCGCCGGCAGCCTGGGGCCCACACGTTCTGTCCGGCGGTTGCCCTCTGCCCCCAGCACCGACTCATTTCCCTTTTCTGAATCGAGGGTCCATGTGACCTTGTGTTTGCTCAGCCATGGGTGCTTCTCATGCACAGGGGCCATTTGCAGGATGCCGAAGGTTCTAGAAGGTTCACAGGAAGCACCCTGAAGAGCTGGGGGGCTCAGACCCAAGGCTCGGGGGCGGGCAGAGTGGGCTGGAGGCAGGTCTTCAGGCCTTCTGTGGCCGATTTTGCCATGACCTTCCGTGTTCCTAGCAAGCCCGTCCGCAGGTCCAGGATTCTGCGTCTGGCGTCCTAATCGGGCCTCCGGCAGCTGGCCGTGTCTGGATCACCCTCTCCAGCCAGGCCTCCAGCTGGCCTGTTCTGTGTCCCCAGCAGCTGTGGAGGACGTCCCTTTGCCCACCCAGTGGCGCTGCCCACCAACTCAGGGCCAGGGCTGCGGGGGCCTCCGGGGCCCAGGGAGGAAGCACATAGCACCTGGCCCCCCAGCTCCAGAGGGGGTCCCATGCCAGCGCCTTAAACTCAGAGTGGGCTGGTTGCCTGAAAGCTGACGGGCCCTTCTTGACCTCCCGGGGCCACAAGGAGGCGGGGGGCAGCACCGTATTCTCGGTACCCTGCCAGCCTTCCAGAGCAGGTCAGTCTCATCTGGCTTTCCCCTGTTTCTAACTGGACTTCCCACCCAGAGAGCAAACAGAGCCAGGCTCCCGGGGTGCCGGCACAGTGCATCCGAGGGAGGGGCAGGTGCTGGGGACGTGGTCCCATCTGCGCGCAGGTGACCCTCCGCTGCTCTGACCACATAAAGGAATAAAACTTCCTTTTAAAGGCAACTTCGGGCTGTGGCTGTTCGTGGGAAGTTAAAAGCCTTGCTCCCCAGCCGCTGCCACTCCCCTTGTGCACCAACCCGTGCGTGTGTGCTTGCCGGGGGCTCGCCTGCAGGGCCGTGTAGGTGGCCCTGGACGGGCGTCGGAGGTGGCGGCAGGGCTGGGCTCATGAGTCCTCTGCTGGCTCTGTCCCGGGGGCCCGGGGGGCCGGCTGGGCTGGTTTTGGTGGGCAGTTTGGACTGTGCCTCCCAGTAGGCCTGGTGGGATGTTTGCTCAGAGGGAGCGGTGTCCCCGAGGGCCTGAAGTGCTGGGCTGGGAAACGGGGGGCAAGAGGGTGGACTGGGGGTGTCATTCCCACGGTTGGAGCCTTGGAGGAGACAGGCCCTGAGCCCCCAGGGGTTGCATGTCACAAACTCAGACATTGAGCCGGTGCCTCCTGGGAGCTCGCTGGCCTGGCAGAGCCCCCGCCCTGCCCCTGCCCCGCCCCTCACAGTCTTTGGTTCTGTAAAGGAAACTAGCATCTGGGACCACCAGGCCCCAGGTGAGTCTGCGAGCTGCCCCGTGGGGTTCTGCCCCCTCCCTCCGCCTTAGCCTCTCCGGGGGTAGGCCACCAGGACCTGCCGCATGCGCTGTGCTACTGTCGTCCTCACCGTCTTGGCTTCTGAGTCATTCCAGGCACACTTGACGAACCAGGAAGGAGGGTGGGGGCGTGATGGCCCCTCCCTCGTCACTGAGGGTCACTGGGCAGTTTCCGAAGGGAGCAGCCTCCCAGCCTCGGCCGAGGCACGGCCCAGCGGCCGGCTCCTGGAACTGCAGAACGGTAGGCTTTCCAGCACGGGACACTATTTCCCATTGAACTCGTATAGGAAGTTCTAATATAAAAAGCAACTCGTCCAAGAGTGCTGCCTGGGAGCCCCACCCATGGCACCCCTCCGGGCACCCAGAGACCCAGTTTGAAATGCGTGGTCCAGTGCACACGGGGAAATGGAGGCATAGGGAAGGGCGGGTTTCCCTGAGTCAGGCCAGGGCCCAGATCGGCACCCAAGTCTCTCCTCCGGGAGAGTTGGTCACCACATCAGACCACACACATCACTGAGGGCTGCAGAACACTTTGGACTGTAATTCCCAAACTCCAAACCGGGCGCCGCCCACAAACACAGCTCTGTCTGGGGACAGCAGGCCGGGCTCATTCACCCCAAACCCCCCGAGGGAGGGGCTCGAGCCTGGAATCAGCTGTCTCCACCAGTGGGATTGCCAGATGCTGCAGCCTCCTGGGGCAACAGCTCCTCAGCTGTGAGGGCAGCAGCGGGGATGGGGAGGGCCTCTGCAGGCCTGAGACACGGGGAAGGCTCCCCGACTCGCTCCCTGGACTGTGGAAAAGTACACTGATGTGCCAGGGGGAGCGGAGCCGGGGGAGGTGCCTGCGGATGAGGGGGACACTGGTGCCAGGCCTCTCCCAACCCGCTGGCCGGTCAACAGCTCCTTGTTGGGGCTCCAGGAACTGGTGGGTCACCTTGCTGCTCACTGACCCAAGAAGGGGCTGGGTGTCAGGGACATGAGCCCATGTTCACCGAGGAACCTGAAGCTCGGAGGCCGGGCGGTGGGCCCTACGTGCCACCCCCAACCCCCGCCCCGGCTGCGACCAGGTCCAGGAAGCAGCTTCTTCCTGCCCCGGAACTCTGCCCCAGCGCCAGGGCTGCGGAGTCCATCCACCCTGCCAGGAGGAGGGCGCCGGCCAGAGGGCGTGGGGGGCAGCCCCACCTCGCTGCTGGCCCAGCGGTCCTGCCCCGGAGATCACGGACGCGGCCGTCGCACGCACTTATCAGGTTCCTGGTGCGGGTGCTGCCTGCCAGCGGGCAAGACCCTCAGGACCTCCGAGGTCTCTCACCCCCAGGAGGCGTGCAGGCGAGGGCTCCAGCCCTCCCAGGGGTGGTCCTGGCCTCACCCTGGACTGTTCCCCTGGAGTCGGCTCACAGCCTGAGCCTGGGTGGGGCCCACAGGCAGGGGACCTGCCTGTGTCCACAGATGGAGTCCAAGCTTCCACTACCCTGGGCCCCATTGGCTGCTCTTTGCACGTGCCCGGCCGGCGGGGGTAGCCCCCGCCAGGTCCAGACGGGTCCAAAGGGGTTTGGGGAGCGAGGGTGAGACTCCAGTGTCCTGTGTCATCCGCCAGGTGAGAGGCGCCCTTCCCTCTGTTCTGAGAACTGCCCGTGCGGCTCCTGCTGGCCTCACCCTCCTGGACAGCTGTCCAGTGGCCTCCCCAGGGTCTTACAGCACTAATGCCTCGGGCCGCTTTGGGCAGGCTTCGGGGGCCCCGGGCTTGGAGCCCCTGCCCCGTGCCTTCCCCACAGCCTGAACCTATTCCCTTTGTGTGTCTCATACCCCCCCCCCGGGGGCCCCGGGCTTGGAGCCCCTGCCCCGTGCCTTCCCCACAGCCTGAACCTTTTCCCTTTGTGTGTCTCATCCCCCCCCCCCGACCCTGGGGAGAACCCTTGCCCCAGTTGGGCAGGTGAGTCCAGGTGCAGGCAGGACCCCCAAGGCCCCACTGAGACTGCTTCAAGGCCTGTCCACTCTCCCGACCCACCACTCCCCAGTTGTGGCCCCCACCCTCAGGGGACGTCCCCGCCCTGTGCAAAGACATCGCAAGTCACTAGTGGTGCCCCTCCCCCAGGCCGTCCCCCACTGGGCCCCCCTCCACCTGCACAAAGGGCACTGAGTCTCCTCTCTCTCTTTTTCGTTAAAAAAAATGCCAATCCCCCCTCCCCAAACTTTGTCTCTTAGGGCGGTTCTAGGTGCACAGAGCTACAGCAAAGGCGGTACAGACTGCCACGTGCTCCACACGTGTCCCCCACTCACGTCCTAGGTCAGTGTCCATTTGTCCCCATCAGTGGACTGCCGTGGACAGTACTGCTACCAAAGCCCACGCTGTGCTCGGGTTCTGCACTTTCCCCCGATGTCCCAGGACCCCGCCCAGGGTCCCACAGGCACTTGAGTCTCCTGGGCTCCTCCGGGCTCTGGCAGTTTCTGACTACCTAGTTTGGTGACTGACAGTCGAGGGTGCCAGGAGCTTTGGGGACTTGTATGGACTTGGTCTGGCAACCTTCCCAGGCGGCTAGGGCTGCCTCACTGCTGCCCAGTCTCCTCCCAGGGCCTGCCTGCCCCAGGGTGGTCTGCTGGGCAGACCCAGCATTCCTGGGGACCCTGCGGGGGCCCGTGGTGCTGTGGTACCCTCCCTTTCTGCCGCGGCTGGGGTCCTCTTCCCCAGCCCATCGCCCCCTTGGCCGGTTACCAGCTGTCAGCCTGGCTGCCTTCCTGGGCCCTTGGTCCATGGAAACCGAGAGCCCGGGTCCTGGAGAGCAGCACCTCCCCAGCTGTGGCTACTCAGCCTCTGCCCTGAGACAGCCATCCGGATGCTCCAACCCCTGCTGCTTGAGGGACCCCGTGCATCATTTCTTGTGTCTGCCCGTTTCTCCCAGGAGTCACCAGACATGAGCAGGTGGACATTTGAGAGGTGGCCGAGGGGCCCCATCCAACAGCCCCTCCTGGGCCTGCCCGGGCCCTTCTCTCCCCAGACCCGAGTGCCAGGTGTGGACAGGGACGCTGCTTCTGGGGACATGCCTGCTCTACTGCGCCCGCGTCAGCGTGCCCATCTGTGCCGCCGCCATGAGCCAGGACTTCGGCTGGAATAAGAAAGAGGCCGGTGTTGTGCTCAGCAGCTTCTTCTGGGGCTACTGCCTGACCCAGGTGGTGGGTGGCCACCTGGGGGACCGGTAATCCCTCCCCCCGCTGCAGGGCTTGGGGAGGTGGCTCCTAGGAAGGGAATGGGGGGAGGCCCCGCCCACAGCAAGACGGGGGCTGGGAGACCCGAGGGCTGCGCAGGGGTGGGCTGGGGCCGGCGCTCAGCTTGTCTCGGGTGCTTGGTTCCCTGGGGAGCAACCGGCATCCAAGGAGGCAGCTCTGGGGCCCATGGGGACAAAGGGACCAGGCTGTACCCTGCGCGCTCAGCCTCGGCCTCCTCTGCAGAGGGGATGTGGCTGCAGTGCCCACCCCAGAGGGCAGCTCCAAGCGACGGGAGGTGCCGGCCCCCTCCCCGGGTTCCTCCACGGTAGGGTCTCCTGGTCCGGCCTGCAGCGCAGCCGCACAGCTCCCGTCGCTGCCCTCTTGTCCTCCGTGCAGGATCGGGGGTGAGAAGGTCATCCTGCTGTCGGCTTCCGCCTGGGGCTTCATCACCGCCGCCACGCCGCTGCTCTCCCGCCTCGGCAGCGCCCACCTGGCCTTCATGACCTTCTCTCGCATCCTCACGGGCTTGCTCCAAGGTAGGGGGGCTGCAGGGGGTGGCCCCCATGCTGCCAGCATTGGACCTCGGGCCCACGCGCCGCAGAGCAAGGGGAGTGTGTGCACGCATATGTATGTGCATGCGTACCTGTGTGCACGGGCACGTGTTCAGGTGGGTGCTCATGGGCGTGCACGTGTGCCCTCGTGTGTGCCCCTGCGTGTGGTGTGCCTCAGTTCAGAGCGGGTGCATCAGTGCTGCAGCGCTGCTGCTGCTGAGGTCATGGGCTCTCCTGCCTGGCAGGCGGACAGCTCGGGCCGTCCCCGCTGGCGGGCTGCTGGCTCTTGGCTTCACTTGCCTGCACCGGGGTTTGTTTGTGCTTCGATGCCGTTGCGCCCAAGGCACTTTCCGTGTCTAGAGTCACTTCACAGTCTGGCTGGCACGTTTTAATGTCACGTGTCCTCCTCTGCCAAAACTTCCGCTCCAGGGATCCGATGTCAGCCAGGTTGCCACGCAGCACCGTCAGCTCCACCAGCCGCATGGTGGGCACGTGCCCAGTTTCTGTGTGCTGCCAGTCGGAGGCCACACCCGCGCTGGCCGGGCCAGCAGGCTGAGGGGATGCCAGCTTTCCCAAGCCTCCCGCTCTCGTTCTTTGGGGATATTACACTTCTGGAGAGAGCCCCCCTCAAAGATCCCCAGTGGCCTGGGGGAGCTGGTGGCAGGGGCGCACACCCACCCTCCAGGGAGTGGGACGGCCTTCTGAGCTCCTGCCCTACACCAGCATGGCATCTGACAGCATCCGTCCTCTGGGCATGACCCCTTCCTCACCACACCTCCCCACTTCCCAGAGCTCTGATAGGGCATGGGCCTCTATCCCGTACCCCCAAGACCCCAGATGTATATCCTGGAATGGGCCTCTGTCTGTTTCCTGATCAGCCCCACCGGGCCGGCCCACATGTGGTCCTGGTGGTCCAGGCAGTCCAGCGCCTGCGCTCCTTTGAATTCACCCCACGTGCTCCCCACATGGTGTGAGCAGGGGCCCGGGGCCCCAAAGGGAAGGCAGGGACCAAGTCCTGTCCCTATGTGCCCTGGCTTCTGAGCTTCCCCAGGTGCTTTTGGAGAAAAGCACAGTGTAATGGGCAAGAGCTGCAGTCGCCAATGCAGTTTTTTTTTTTAAACTAGATTTTAAAATAATTATAGCTTTATAGGAAGTTGCAGTGAAATGTACAGGGAGGTCCCGAGCTCCCTCCCCCACCTCCCTGTGGTGGCATCTCACGTAGCTACAGGGCAGTGTCACATCCAGGACCTGGCAGTGCAGTTCCACGGGGCTGTTCAGGTCTCACCGACGTACACGCACCGTGTGTGTCAGTGTGTGTGCGTGTGCACTTGTCACTTGTCACCTGTGTGTGCGCTTCTGCGTGTTGGTGCCAGGACTCTGGAGCCGTGTGGCTCTGGGAGCTGGCGTGACAGTGGAAGAGCGCCAGCTTGGGCCCGGAAGTCCCCCTGCAGCCGTACTGGCGGCAGGACCTTGAGCGAACCCCCCCCGCTCCCCAAGCTGTCTCCTTAGCTGAGTGTTGGGAAAAGCCCAGCCCTGCTGATCCCTGGGGGTGACAGCGGGAGGAAGGAGACCTGGGCTTGAATAATCACTGAGGGCCCCGCGGAGCTTCCAGCCCCTGTCTCACCCCTCCGTCGGCCACCCTGGCGGGGCCCGCGGGCCAGCTTGGGACACAGCTCTGCGCGGGCCTCTGCCTTCTCTGCCGCCCCAGGAGTTTACTTCCCTGCGCTGACCAGCCTGCTGTCCCAGAAGGTGCAGGAGAGCGAGCGAGCCTTCACCTACAGCACCGTGGGGGCCGGCTCCCAGTTTGGGTAAGTCCCGGCCTGGGGGGGGGCGAGCGGGAGGGGGGTCGGTGTGGGGAGGCGAAGGGCGTGCACCTGGCAGAGCGCCTCCGTGCGTCTGGTGGAGACAGGCCACATGCACATCTGGGACAGGGTGACGCAGGTCTGGTGACTCTGTGCTCTGGGAGGCACTTGCCACCCCCCATCTCCGTGCATGCTCTGTCCCTCTCGGGCCAGCGGCAGGTGACCAGAGCTCTGGGGCTCTGGCACATGGGCTGGGGTGTTAAGCTCCCTTCCATCGGTGCTGACAGAACTGGATGGGATGCCCATCCCGATGGGGGAGGTGGCCTCCCCCATGGGGGGGGGGTACCAGAGGGTACCCGTCACGGTCCAGACATGAAAAGTCCAGACATGAAAGACCTGTAAGGTCCAGACCTGTGCCCCTCCCCACTGCACCCCCCAGAGCGCCAGACCCTCCGTGGGGCGACCGCACCGGGGCTGGAAGGAGTCTTGCTGTCCTATTGGGGCTTCACAACCCCCGGACTCAGGGCCCTCACGTTACTGCTGCCGAGGTCCAGGCAGAATGCAGAGGGGTGAGGGGTACCTGCTGGGGGGCTGGGAGCGGCCCAGATAGAAACCCAGGGGGCCCAGTGACATGTGAATTTCAGAGAAGCAATACACGGACAGGAGAGTTTCATTGTTTATCTGAAATCCCATCTCACTGGGTGACCTGGGCCTCCCGGGGAGGGAGTGGGGTGCAGGGGAGGTACAGGGAGAGACCGTGCCCACCCCCTCCCTGCAGATGGGGAAATGGAGGCTCAGAGCGGAAGGCATCCCTCACTGGCCTTGGGGGAAAGCCTTTCTCCTCTAACTGTCTCCTGGCCAAGCCTCAGCGGGTGGGGGGCAGCTGGGGGGGGTAGCCCCTGAACAGACAGGCCAGCCTGGGGGAGGGGTGGGCCCCGAGGGCATACTTGGGACAATAGCATTGGCAGGACCTGGAGAGGCAGCTGGGTTGGGTGGTTGTTTTTGCATTTTGAAATCTTTTTGAAATTTCGTCCTCTCTGATATGAGCAGCTGAAAACACCGAGGAGGTTTTGTTTCAGCGTGTTCTTGTCACTGCTGTCTTCTCATTGCCCTTTACATTTTAAAAGGATCCACACATAACTGTAGGCCAACTGGGAGGCCTAGTAAGGAGATACTAGGGCAACACAGGACCCCTGTGCCACGTCATGGCTGCCACGTCCATGCTGGCCCCCGTGGCACCAGGAGTCCCTGGAAAGCTTGCATCTGTCTTAAAAAAAATGCACAACATGAGAGTTGCAGGTTAAGTTTGATTTGGGGCAAAATGAGGGCTGCAGCCCGGGAGACAGCATTTCAGAGAAACTACTCCCAGGAGGTGAGGGGAGGAGCCAGGATATCGAGGAGTTTTGCAACAGAAGAGCAAGTAATGGTCAAAAAATTATTGTTAATTAAAGAAAACCCGATGTGTCACGTTTGGGAATTTAGCGCTTTTCTGTGTCTGGGAAGATGCAAGAGTCTGGGCTCACTGAAATCATTCCTTTGATATGCACCTCAGCTCTCTGGGGCCAGTGTCCTGTATTTTCACATCCTGAGTTTCCGCAGGGCTCACCGCAGGGAGTGGCTGCAGTCTGATGGCTGCTGGATGGCAGGTATTCTTTTCAGCCCTGAGTTTCCTCAGGGCTCACCAGCTAACGTTGGAGGGCTGCAATCCTTGATGAATGTGACATCCTTTATTTGTTGATATGGCAGGAAATATTCCATTTATAAATATTCCATTTATCACATCCCTAGCAAGCTGCGTGGGGACCAGCCTTCCGGGCAGTTGCCTTACAGGGGATAGAAATGCTCTCTTTTCTAGGGACTCAGGTCACCTGGGGTAGGGGTCTCGGAGATGTCTCCGCACCCCAGTGAAGCGAGGGTCCCAGCCACGCCCCTCCCTGTCGTTCCAGGACGCTGGTGACGGGGGCCGTAGGCTCCCTGCTCCTGGACTGGTACGGCTGGCCGAGCGTCTTCTATTTCTCGGGTGGGCTCACCCTGCTCTGGGTGTGTTACGTGTACAGGTGTCTGCTGAGTGAGAAAGGTACGTGCTGCTGCCCGGGAAGGGCGGGGGCCCTGGCGCCTTGTCCCCTCCGGCGAGCGGCCACCGAACCCCCAAGAGCAGGCCAGCTCGGGGGCCCCAGGATCCCCTAGGTAGAGCCTCACAGAAGACGCCCACTCCCTGAGTCTCAGCCGGCTACCGTCGAGTCTGGTGTGAGAGTCGCCGGGTGAACGCAGACATGCAGGGGGCTGCCCAGCCAGCAGAGGCAGATTGCAGAGGTGGTAGAGGTGGCTCCCGGTGACAGGAGTGGGGCCTGGAGGGTTTGAGGACTCAGGGGACAGATGGCCGACACTGCTGTCCACCCTCGAAGGCAGATGCTGCCGACCCCAGGCTCTGGCGGAGAGGACAGGATGGCCCCCAGGCACAGCTGGGGACCCACGAGCCGCCCCCAGCTTCTGGCCTGTGGGGGCAGAGCCGTCCACCCTCTTTGAATGGCTTTCACGTGGAGATGCCTTGCCCTTCAGATCTCATCCTGGCCTTGGGCGTCCTGGCGCAGGGCCTGCCGGTGTCCAGACACACCAAGGTGCCCTGGAGGCAGCCCTTCCGAAAGCCTTCTGTCTGGTGAGCCGGGCTGCTGCGGGGATGGGGTTTGGGGCCCTGGGGACCTCGGCCACGGGGCGGGCGGCTCCACTCTGGGCTCCGTGCCCTCAGGCCCCTGGCTGCCCTGGGTGTGGGGAGGGGGCTGGGGTGTGGCCCCTGAGCCTGGCCCCCGCTCCCCCAGGGCGGCCATCACCTCCCAGCTCTCGGCGGCCTGCTCCTTCCTCCTCCTCTCCTGGCTGCCGACCTTCTTTAAGGAGCCCTTCCCCAGCTCCGAGGTGGGTTGGCCGCCCAGCAGCTCACAGGGTCGGGGGGCGCCACGGAGCACATGCAGAGGGGCCCTGGGCTCCTTCCGCTGAGCTCTGGCGGTTCTGGCGCCTCTTGGCTCAGCGGCCGCACCTGGGTGCACACAGGAGAGGCCCAGCTGCTGCCCCGGCTGCCTGCCCGTCTGCGGACAGTCCTTCCTGGGTGGGTGGGTGGGGCACGCAGGGGCTGTGATGTAGGCACAGATGTCACCTGCTGGTCAGCCTGGCGGACTGCACCCCGGCCGCCTGGCTACCCTCCCAATTCTGGTGACCAGGGCCCCCTGGCCGCACACTCTTGGCAGGGTGCGGCCCCCCAGCTCTGCCCCGCCGGGTGTGGGGAGCCATGAGGGAGGTTCTGCCTGCAGGGGTGATAGCACTTGAGGGCCCAGCGCTCAGTCAAGGTCGGGGATGAGTTAGGATCTCAGAGGCCCAGCCTGTGGGCAGAGAGCCTGGTGGGCAGTGGTGGGCGTGGGCGGCCGCCTGGCCTGTTCGTCCTTTCCCCGTGGTCGGGCACCTGCCCTGGCGGCCTCTGAGGCCCCTGAACCCTCCTCCCTGCAGGGCTGGGTCTTCAACGTGGTGCCCTGGCTGGTGGCCATTCCTGCCAGTCTGTTCAGCGGGCTTCTCTCAGACCGTCTCATCAATCAGGGTGAGCCCTGGAGGAGGGGCCGGGCAGGGAGCCATGCCTGGGCTTTGCCTCACTCTGGGGGGCAGAGAGGCACCCCTTCTGGGGTGCACCTATAGCGATGGGAAGAGGCCACGCCCCCGAGGACCAGGCCGTGAGAGTGGAACCCCTGGCCCTTAGAGCCAGCCAGGTGGGCCCGTGGAGCCCGGCTCCCGGCCTGACTCTGCTGATGACTGCCTCCAGCTTGTCACCCCCCATCCTGTTTCCCCGTGAGGGGACATTGGGACACAGTCACACTGCGATGGTGTAATTCCTCCACCTGGGGGCTGGACACAGCCCCCAAGCCTCTTCAGAGGAGGAACGGGCACCTGGTGAGGTCAGAGGTCTCAGGCCTGAGACCCGAGTGCACACGGCCCGAGGATGACCGTCCCGCAGACACGCACGCTCCCCACGACCCTGCACTGCACGTCCTTAAATGTCAGTCTTGTCCTAGTTACAGAAGAACCACCCACTCGTTGTGGAAAAATTAGAAAATTGGTAGAAACACAAAGAAAGCACTTTGTAACCATAGAGTGGCCTTCCTCAGGTGCGTCTGCCAGGCCTCGGCCTTGGGAACCCACACACGTGTGCGCGCGGCTCACGGTGATGCAGGCTCTGCCCCACCTTGAGCCCAGCCCAGCCCTCCTCTCCCCTCTCCCTCCCCGCAGCTGTGAGGGTGGGACCCACTCTGGGTGCCGTCGGGGGTGGGACAGCACAGATGGGCCCACAGGATGTCTCCTGGTCTCCCCGTCTAGGTTACAGGACCATCACTGTGAGGAAGTTCATGCAGGTAGGAGGGTCGTGCAACGGCTCTCTCCCTCCGGACATCCCTGTTTTGTTCCCAGGGCCCCTGACCTAGAAGGGGGCTGGTGTGGCACAGTGGCTGGAGGGCACTGTGGGTCAGTGCTGGGGACTGACTTGGCTGACCTGAGGCCATTCCCTGAGTCCTGGTGCCCATTTGGGGGCCTGGGTCGGCTCATGTCGAATGGGCTATGACCAGCAGGGCCAGATCATTCGTGCAGCCTCGTCCCAGTGGCCTCCAGCCCGGGAGGGGTGCCCACCGACCCTCATTCAGTGTGGTCCAGGCAGCCCAGGAAGGGGCGAGACTCCCACCCCGTCCCCACTCGTCTCTCCCGCAGGCGATGGGCCTCGGCCTGTCCAGTGTTTTTGCCCCGTGTTTGGGCCATACCTCGAGCTTTTGTAAGTCTGTGGTCTTTGCATCAGCCTCCATCGGCCTCCAGACCTTCAACCACAGGTAAGGGCCAGGTACCTCGTCCACCAGATCCACCCACGCTGCCTTTGGGCTCCCGGGTCCTGGGCCCCTGGCTCGGGGTGCACATGGAGGGCGGGCGCATGGCAGGTCCCCACAAGTGAGCCACAAGGTGAAGGGCAGTCAGGGTATCAAGCCGGCGAGGACCTGGGCCTTTTGGGAAAGCAAAACGGATGCTTGGGGAGGGACTGGCAGAGGAGATGAGGGTCCCCAAGCAGCATCTTTTGAACCAAAGGTGGGGAGCGAGCCCATTGGATCCCACGTCTTGTTCTGCGGGCCTCCTGGCCTGCACAGCAGCTCAGTGTTCAGTCAGAAAAACTACACTGACTTGTTTTGGGAATCGGCACCTTGATGTCGTTTTCCAGATTACCGGTAGCAAATGAGTGTGAGTCCAAGCAAACTCACCTCCCTGTCTTGTTTCATCTTGGGAGTGGGTCCCGCGCGTAACCGCTGAGCTGGGGCTGAGCTCCTGGCATGGCCAGACTCCGGGATCCAGGTGATCGGAGGACCGACTGCCGGCTTGGCGGGTGGCGGCCACCCTGTGGTCACTCGCCCACGTCCTTTCCTCTTCCCACAGTGGCATTTCCGTTAATATCCAGGACCTGGCCCCGTCCTGTGCCGGCTTTCTGTTTGGTGAGGACCTCGGCCCCTCGTTGGACAGGAAGTGGCTGCCCCCTCCCCGCTCACCCCCACCCCCCGCTCCCAGGGCCCCAGGGCCCCCAGGTGGGTGCGCCATGGGAGGGTCACAGTGGGCCTCCACTGACTGGTCCTTGTTCTCTCTGTCCTGTTCCAGGTGTGGCCAACACAGCTGGGGCTTTGGCAGGTGAGAAGTGGGCTAGGGTCCCCTGCCTGCGGGTTTCAAACCCAGAGTTCCCCGGGGCGCCGCCCCACACCTGTGTCCTCCCACCTGCTCTGCTGCTTCGGCCCTCAGGGTGGGGCATGGCACCCCTCGGGGGGTCCCCACAGTGTCAGAGCAGTGGCGGGGGCGGGGAGCCCAGACCCCAGAGCTGGCCGGGGGAGAGCACAGAGCCGTCTTCCACGGTGCTCATGCTTCCAATGGCATGTAACCGTCCCCAACCATGTGACTCGCAGATGTGAGCGAATCCCCGAGGTCCAGGGTCCCCAGAGGCCGAGTGCCTGGGTGATGGTGATGGGGCTCATGCCCTCAGGCCCCCCCGCCCTCAGCTCCTCTCCGAGCTGTTCTCAAAGGGGCAGGATGGCCTGTCACCCCACCTACTTGTCCCCTCTCGAGGGTGCAGGAGTCGTGGGCGTGTGCCTGGGCGGCTACCTCATCGAGACCACGGGCTCCTGGACGTCTGTGTTCAACCTGGTGGCAGCCATCAGCAGCCTCGGGCTATGCACCTTCCTGGTGTTCGGGAAGGCCCAGCAGGTGGACCTGAGCCCCGCCCACGAGGACCTCTAGCCCACCGACCCACTGTCCCTGAGTACCCAGCGCCGTCAGCCTCGGGGACAGCGCTCAGCTTAGAGGCCCCTTGCTCCTGGCTCGCAGTGTGAGCAGAGGCGGGGGAGCCTCAGCCCAGCAGGAGGGTGCGGTCCGGTTCCCCCGCCCTTGGGGGTAGCAGCCTCCTTCCGGGTTGGTGGGACCTCATGGTGGGTGGATTAGTATCTTCAGTAGCAGCAGCTTCGTCACAAGACACGGCCTGTTCCTCGTAGATCCGTAGAAGCCCCACGTGGTCAGCCCGCCCCGGGACCGTGTCACTGCAGGGCAGGGCGCCCCACTGGAGTCTCTCCCCAAAACCTGCTTGGCTCTGTTTCTCAGCTCTTGAGGCCGGATCATGCTCTGTGGTGGGCCGTCCTGTGCACTGCGGGGTGTTTAGCAGCATCCCTGGCTCCCACCCATTAGATGAGCCCCCCCCAGTCATGACAGCCAACCCTACCTCCTGACATCACCAAGTGTCCCCGGGGGACCCGCCCCCTGTCTGGCTGAGGACCACAGCTCTAGAAGGCCAGGGAGGGCTGTGGTGTTTCCGCTTCTCCAAGCAGCCAGGCTGAGGCCCCCCACTTCGATGGGTGGGCAGAATTGGGGGCTCGAGGCCCTTGTGCATTGTTGGGGACCCTGCCCCCGGCGTCCCCTCCCATGGATTCCCAGGCACTGGCGATGCGTTGTGCTCCCTTGGTGCCTGGCGAGGGCGCATGGGCACCCACTCCTGGCCAGGACACGCCCCGGAGCCAGTGAACCCACCGGTCCGCAGTTTCTTTCTCCCTCCTTGCTTACGATAGAGGGGCCAGTCGTCTCGAGGATTAATAATAGATTTTGCAAGATGTATATGCAGAGAAAAGAAACTATGAGAATGTGGAAAAGCACACCAAAGCCTTATTTAAATGATGACTATTAAACTATTTAAAAAGAAGACCATAATGTTATTTAAGGCCCTTCTTATAAAAAGAATAAACGTGTGTTAAAGATTTATTTCACTAGTTCGAGGAAACCAGCAAAGTGTTTCAAACAGTCGAAGGAAAATGCCAAGAAGAGACGTACTGATCCTCCAGGATGCTGACACACACGTGCAGATACAGCCGAGGTGGGGTTTCCTAGCTCCCGCTCTGGACAGACGCCGCCTGTGCATCTGTGTCGGAGCTGCTTGGTGTAGCTTTCAGCTGTGTAGATTCTAGAATCAGACAACTCCTAATTTTCCATGTAAGCAAAGATTTTTCTCCTGCAGCCCCCAACTTGTGATCAGAAAGAATCTGGAAGAAAGATTCGCGATTACAAAGTGAGTCTGGCCTCTGTAGGTTTGGCCTGATTGTTTACGGAGATGCAGCCAGAATGTTAATTTACCATAAAGGCCACGCTGTTTGCTAGGCTGGGGATTTTCATGAGAAACCTCAGGTGGATTTCTAGGCTGTGCTGTCCTGAGCTGGGAGCCCTGCCCAGGAAACTCCCCACGGCGGGGTGGTTTCCTCAGGACACAGGACACGTGTGTCCTCGTGCCCGTTTTTAAGTGCAGCGCAGGGATGCTCTGCCTTCACCTTGTTGGGCAACTGTCACCACCACCATCGTCATGACCCTCTCCTCCCAAACTGGAACTCTTCCCTCCCCCTCCCCCAGATCCTGGCGCCCACCATCTGCTTTCTGTCTATGAGCTTGACCCTTCTAGGGACCTCAGTGGAAATGTATCATACAGCATTTGTCCTTTTGTGACTGACTCATTTCGCTGAGCGTGGTGTCCTCGAGGTTTGTCTGTGCCGTAGCGCGTGCTGGGATTTCCTCCCTTTGTAAGTCCGTGGAATGCTTCATTGTATGGCTGCACCACGTGCTGTTCAGCTCTTCGTTCATCGGTGGATGCTGGGCTGCGTCCACCTCTCGGCCGCTGTGAATTCGCTGCTGTGAGCATGGATGTGAGAGTAACACCTTTCTTTCTAACCCACAGCAAACTGTAAACTCTTGGAGAGCGTGAGAGAGATGGCCCTTCCCGTGGGAACATAGCCGTCTGGGGTCTCAGTGCTCGAGCCCTGAAGGGATGCGGGACCCAGAAGGTGCTGGTGGATCCTGCTCAGCAGGGGGGCCTAGGGCATATATGTAAACTGGGATCCCCGGCCTCCTGGAATCCGAGTCTAGTCACGCTTCTGTCAGCGCCTGGCAGAATAGGGGAGGGAGAAGCCAGGATGTGGGGGCCCTGGGCCAGCTGTGCAGTAGCTGGGCCCAGCCTCCTCCCGTCACTGCCGTCCCTAGCGCTCAGTGTCACCTTGGAGCTGGGTGCGGCCCCTCAACCCTTCCCAATGCCAGTGTTGGGCCCTGGGTCGGGCTCTGAGGATTCCAGGTGAAAATGTTTGCGGGGAGGGCACTGTTAGCACAGATGGGTGGGAGGATGGCCGGGCCCTGCTGTGTGTTATCTGGTGCAGCCAGGCTCAGACACGTCCCCAGCCTGGGTGGCCCTGGCAGGATCCCAGGGCCGACACCAACCCTGAGTGCAGTAGGGGGAGAGCCGGTCTGGAGTCTGTAGGGTCACCAAAGCCCAGACACTCAACCTGCTGTGCCTTCCCTCCTGAGAGGAAGGGCTCTGGCCGCCCGGAGCCGTGAGTGTGCATTTGTGCACGGCGTGTGTGCAGTAGTGCATGTGTGTGTGTGCATTTGTGCACGCGTGTGTGTACGCCTGTGCCTGCCGGCCCACAGCCAGGAGGCGCCTCTGGAGGGCCAGGCTGCTGTCATCCTGCAGCTGGCTGACAGAGGGCGCCGTCCGACAGGGCTTTTCCCGGGCCCCGGAGCAGCCGACCTGACTCTTCCCGAGGGCGCCAGGTGGGAGCCGAGGGGTCCAGCTGGCCACCCTGTGCAGTGTGGGCCGGTGCCCCTCAGCTCTGTAGGAAGGGACGGGGTGGAAGGACATTCCAGGCGCAGGGAGGCTCGAGGCTGGACCCCGAGGCGGGAGGGCCTGGGGAGTGCGCGTATGCGAGCGGGGACCCCCTCCCACCTCCCCTCCCGCAGTCTGGATCCCCACCGTGGGTCCCTCCCGCTGGCTGCTGGGCTGCACACGCGGGGTTACGGTGTCTGCTTCTTCTTTCTTTTTATAAATTTATTTATTTATTTTTGGCTGCGTTGGGTCTTCATTGCTGCACACGGGCTTTCTCTAGTTGTGCCGAGCAGGGGCTGCTCTTCGTTGCGGTGCACGGGCTTCTCATTGCAGTGGCTTCTCTCTCTCTCTCTTTTTTTAAAAATTATTTATTTAATTTATTTATTTTTGACTGCGTTGGTTCCTTCATTGCTGCGTGTGGGCTTTCTCTAGTTGTGGCGAGCGGGGGCTACTCTTCGTTGCAGTGCGTGGGCTTCTCATTGTGGTGGCTTCTCTTGTTGCAGAGCATGGGCTCCAGGCTCCCGGGCTTCTGGAGTGTGGCTTGCGGGCTCTAGAGCACAGGCTCAGTAGTTGTGGCGCACGGGCTTAATTGCTTCGCGGCATGTGGGATCTTCCTGGACCAGGCCTCGAACCCATGTCTTCTGCGTTGGCAGGCACATCCTTAATCACTGCGCCACCAGGGAAGCCCGCGGTGGCTTCTCTTGTTGCGGAGCATGGGATCTAGGCGCACAGGCTTAGTAGTTGTGGCACGCAGGCTCAGTAGTTGTGGCTTGCGGGCCCTAGAGCGCAGGCTCAGTAGATGTGGCTCGTAGGCTCTAGAGTGCGGGCTCAGTAGCTGTGGCGCACGGGCTTAGTTGCTCCGCGGCATGTGGGATCTTCCCGGAGCACGGCTCGAACCCGTGTCCCCTGCATTGGCAGGCGGATTCCCAACCACTGCGTCACCAGGGAAGGTCTGTGTCCTCTTCTAACAAGAAGACAGACAGCAGCAGGACTTCGTGGTTGGAGGTCCTGGGGGGCCCGTCCCCCGGTCCTCTCCCCAGGGCACAGGTGTCCTCAGGGGCAGGGCTGTCCCCCACCTGGGACTGCAGCAGTTTGGCGTCAGGACGGGCTGGGGTCCCTCTGGGGCCCAGGATGTGCCAGTCCAGGCTCCCCCCGATGTCCTGTCCCCAGACCCCGCCAGCCCCACAGAGGCCTCACCGGGCTCCCTCCCCCATCTCCCGCTCTCAGGCGGGGTGTCCCCTCCTGGTCACCATAAGTGACACTTTTCTGTCATTTCTTTAAAACAGGATCTTTAATGGCCAGTTAATATCTGTAATCAGCATGTTAATTAGCCCCAGCTCTCTGGGCTCCCCCCACCCCCATTTCTGGCTTTGTCCTTCAGCTGTAGGACAAGGCCCTGGGGGTCCCCACTTGCCGCTGGGGGGCCCCTGCTCGCCTTTCCTGGGCGTTTGGGGCGCCCCCGGTGCCGCGGGCCGTGTTCTCTCCAGTGTACGGTGGAGCCTGCAGTTCGTTCCGTCCGCTGGTTCCTGCAGAAGGAGCAGGGCTGTGCGTAGGACCACACTTTTGATGGGCATTTGCTTTATCATGTTCAATTGAACACCGTGGAAGCCGTGGCATGAATATTCAGCGAGGTGGCTGGAAGCCTCATCTGATTGCGGGAGGCGCCCCAGCACGGCGCCTGTCAAAGGGGGAGCGAGGTAGGGAAGCTATTAATTGAAATAGCTTCATTAATTAGTAATTAACAGCAGAGAAATGACTGTATAACACGTCGTATTTCAGTAGATGCCCTTCGTGTCTTATGGGACCTTTAATTAAAGGACGGGGCATTTTAATAACAGGCAAGCTTGGCCCTTTGAACTTTGGAATACAAAAGAGGCCCCCCGCTTTCAAGGAAGCGGGCGGGGAGGTTGGTGCAGGTGCAGGCATCCTGCGCCCGGCCACCGCTCGCTCCTCGGGCGCGTGGGCTCTGGCTCCTCCTCCCTGCACCTGGAAGACGTGGCCCTATGGGTTCTCCTGGGGCCACAGGCCGGCGCAGGGGAGCAGTGGGCGGGAAGGAGGACCCAGAGGGTGATGCCCGCGCCGCCCTGCTGGCCACGTCCTGGGAGGAGGGGCTGAGAGCAGTGCCCTGAGGCCCGACGGAAGACCTCCCGGCCTGCTGCGCCCGCCCGCCC